TCTACACATCCCCTACCCACTCTGAAACCTCCTTGCTCATCCGCAATCCTACATTCTGTCTTACCTCTAATTCTTTCACTTATAACCCTACCGTACACTTTCCCTAGGTACCTTCCCCTCTTTCATACATTTATTATACAAAAGTACCAACCACTCCAACACTATATCCCCCCCTGCTTTTAACATTTCTGTCATGATCCCATCAGTTCCAGCTGCTTTACCCCCTTTCATTCTACGTAATGCCTCACGTACCTCCCCCACACTTACATTCTGCTCTTCTTCACTCCTAAAAGATAGTATACCTCCCTGACCAGTGCATGAAATTACTGCCTCTGTTTCTTCCTTAACATTTAAAAGTTCCTCAAAATATTCTCGCCATCTACCTAATACCTCCCTCTCCCCATCTACTAACTCCCCTACTCTGTTTTTAACTGACAAATCCATACTTTCCCTAGGCTTTCTTAACTTGTTTAACTCCAAAAATTTTTCTCATTTTCATTAAAATTTCTTGACAGTGCCTCTCCCACTCTATTAATAAAACTGTCAAACGGAAACCACAATAGTGTTAAAAATTAGAAGCTGAACACATGAATTCTTCTCCAGTTATGGCCGGGGGGTCAATTATTATAATCATGGAGGAGCGCTAAACCCGTAGGATTACACAGCGCATATTGGGGGGGGGGAGATGGAAGGTATTCAGACTCAATTCAGGAAACCGGAGCGCATATCCAATTCCCTAGATCGAGAGCCCCTCACCAACGTCAAGGAACCTCCCTTGAGGGGCACGAGGGGCCCAACCATTCCAAGTTTCTTTTTTATTATTATTACGTCAATAAACTTGCCTACTCGTAAGCGAGAGTTAACAGGTACTATGCTTGTCCTATGAGGCCTGGTCACAGACCGGGCAGCGGGGGCGATGACCCCCGGAACTCTCTTCAGGTAATCTCCAGGTATGATGTATCACTCCGTAAATATTGAAGCCGCTCAGAAGAGGTAAACCGAAATTTATTTGTGATTTAATGGGAATAAATGTCACTATTTTACACATAAAATCATCAGATCTTCATGTGAACGTGTAAATTGTCTGGAGAAATTAGTCCTCCTTACCGTATATAAGTCTTGACAGAAATAAAGAAGGAAAAAACGTGAAAAAAATCAGGCAGCGTCTTAAAACTCCCTCTTCCGGGATTCTTAACTAGTTTTAACTCTTTTAAGATGTGCGAGTGATCATGATTATTGTCTACTTTGTATATTTACTTAATTCTATTGAAGTATTAATTCCCAGTATTAGTAATTCCGATGTTTCGAATAATAATTCACAGAAGTAGTAATTCTGATGTTTTGGAACTACGGCCTTTTATTGTTTCGTGTGTGTGTGTGTGTGTGTGTGTGTGTGTGTGTACTCACCTAGTTGAGGTTGCGGGGGTCGAGTCCAAGCTCCTGGCCCCGCCTCTTCACTGGTCGCCACTAGGTCACTCTCCCTGAACCATGAGCTTTATCGTACCTCTGCTTAAAGCTATGTATGGATCCTGCCTCCACTACATCTCTTCGCAAACTATTCCACTTCCTGACTACTTTGTGGCTGAAGAAATACTTCCTAACATCCCTGTGATTCATCTGTGTCTTCAGCTTCCAACTGTGTCCCCTTGTTGCTGTGTCCAGTCTCTGGAACATCCTGTCTTTGTCCACCTTGTCAATTCCTCTAAGTATTTTGTAAGTCGTTATCATGTCCCCCCTATCTCTCCTGTCCTCCAGTGTCGTCAGGTTGATTTCCCTTAACATCTCCTCGTAGGACATACATCTTAGCTCTGGGACTAGTCTTGTGGCAAACCTTTGCACTTTCTTTAGTTTCTTTACGTGCTTGGCTAGGTGTGGGTTCCAAACTGGTGCCGCATACTTCAATATGGGCCTAACGTACACTGTGTACAGAGTCCTGAACGATTCCTTATTAAGATGTCAGAATGCTGTTCTGAGGTTTGCCAGGCTCCCATATGCTGCAGCAGTTATTTGGTTGATGTGCGCTTCAGGAGATGTGCCTGGTGTTATACTCACCCCAAGATCTTTTTCCTTGAGTGAGGTTTGTAGTCTCTGGCCCCCTAGATTGTACTCCGTCTGCGGTCTTCTTTGCCCTTCCCCAATCTTCATGACTTTGCACTTGGTGTGATTGAACTCCAGGTGCCAATTGCTGGACCAGGTCTGCAGCCTGTCCAAATCCCTTTGTAGTTCTGCCTGGTCTTCGATCGAATGAATTCTTCTCATCAACTTCACGTCATCTGCAAACAGGGACACTTCAGAGTTTATTCCTTCTGTCATGTCGTTCACAAATACCAGAAACAGCACTGGTCCTAGGACTGACCCCTGTGGGACCCCGCTGGTCACAGGTGCCCACTCTGACACCTCGCCACGTACCATTACTCGCTGCTGTCTTCCTGACAAATATTCCCTGATCCATTGTAGTGCCTTCCCTGTTATTCCTGCTTGGTCCTCCAGTTTTTGCACTAATCTCTTGTGTGGTACTGTATCAAACGCCTTCTTGCAGTCCAAGAAAATGCAATCCACCCACCCCTCTCTCTCTTGTCTTACTGCTGTCACCTTGTCATAGAGCTCCAGTAGGTTTGTGACACAGGATTTCCCGTCCCTGAAACCATGTTGGGTGCTGTTGATGAGATCATTCCTTTCTGGGTGTTCCACCATTCTTCTCCTGACAATGTTCTCCATGACTTTGCATACTATACATGTCAGTGACACTGGTCTGTAGTTTAGTGCTTCACGTCTGTCTCCTTTTTTAAAGATTGGGACTACATTTGCTGTATTCCATGCCTCAGGCAATCTCCCTGTTTCGATAGATGTATTGAATATTGTTGTTAGGGGTACACATAGCGCCTCTGCTCCCTCTCTCAGGACCCATGGAGAGATGTTATCTGGCCCCATTGCCTTTGAGGTATCTAGCTCACTCAGAAGCCTCTTCACTTCTTCCTCGGTTGTGTGTACCGTGTCCAGCACCTGGTGATGTTCCACACCTCTCCGTCCCTCTGGAGCCCCTTCTGTCTCCTCTGTGAACGCTTCTTTGAATCTCTTGTTGAGTTCCTCACATACTTCACAGTCATTTCTTGTTGTCTCTCCTCCTTCCTTCCTTAGCCTGATTACCTGGTCCTTGACTGTGTTTTTCCTCCTGATGTGGCTGTATAACACCTTCGGGCCAGATTTGGCTTTCGCTGCTATGTCGTTTTCATATTGTCGTTGGGCCTCCCTTCTTATCTGTCCATATTCGTTTCTGGCTCTATGACTGCTCTCCTTATTCTCCTGGGTCATTTGCCTTCTATATTTCTTCCATTCCCTAGCACATTTGGGTTTTTTTGCCTCCTTGCCCCTTTGGATGAACCATGGGCTTTTCCCTGGCTTTTTCATTATTCTGTTCCCTTGGGTACAAACTCTCCTTCAGCCCCCTTGCACTTTGTTGCTACATATTCCTTTCATCTCTTTTAACTGGCTTTCCTGCCAGTTCTCTTTCCACTGAATCTCGTTCAGGAAGTTCCTAATTCCCTGTAGCCCCCTTTCCTTTTAGTTTGGTTTCATTTGTCCTGGCCTTCCTGCTTCCCCCTCCACTTTTTAGCTCTGTGTATTCGAAGCCCAAAACCACATGATCGTGGCCCCAAGGGGTCTTTCATATGTGATGTCCTCAATATCTGCATGCTCAAGTTGAATTACTAAGCCCAGTCTTGCTGGTTCATTCTCTCCCTCTCTTTCTTGTAGTGCCCCTTACGTTTTGGGTTTCCATGAAGTTTTTCCAGTACCACCTCCATCATCTTAGCCTCCATATATCTTGGCCCCTTGTGGCTCCAAGTTCTCCCAGTCGAATCTCCTTGTGGTTAAAGTCCCCCATGATCAGGAGCTTTGCTCTGCATTCATGAGTCTTTGGCCACTGCGCCAGTGTGTCAACCATCGTTCTATTGTTTTCGTCATACTCATGCCTGGTCTCCTGCTGTTCTCTGGTGGGTTTACTCACTGCAATTACCACCTTGGGACCTCCAGAGTAAAAGCGTTCCCGCTATGTAATCACTTTCTTCTCTGCTGACTCTCTCTCGAGCTCATCAAAATTCCATCGGTGTTTGATCAGCAGTGCCACTCCTCCACCCCCTGTTCCTTCTGCCTTTCCTCAGTATCTGGTACCCCGTTGGAAAAGATGGCATCTGTTATCATACCTGTAAGTTTGGGTTTTTCTGTGAGCGCTTGATGTCCGGTGTTTTCTCTTTGACTCTTTCGTCCCACTCCTCCCACTTATTTGTTATTCCATCAGCGTTTGTGTACCATACCTTCAGTTTCCTTTCCAATACTGTGGTTGGGTGGGCTTGGGGTGGGAAAGACCTGGTAGCTTACTGTGGATTCTATGATTGGGGGTTGGGTGGAAGCTGTGGGTATGGATTGTAGTGTGTGTTGGGATGGTGTGATAGGTTGTGGGGTTCTGAGGATAGTTGTGTGTGTGCTTGCTCTTGCTGCTCTGTTCTGCTCTGATGACCTCTGCTGGTTCCATCCTTGTTTCCTTTCCTATCTCCTTTCGCTTTTTTATCCTCTCCCTCAGCTGCTGTGTGTGTGTGTGTGTGTGTGTGTGTGTGTGTGTGTGTGTCTGGGTTAAGGTGTGTGTACGTGTTTAGATGCACGAGTTCATACATGTTATATTTATGTTATATTTATATTAATGTTATATTTAGTAAAGATGTTAATACTTAAAGAATTTACGTATACCAGTGTTATTTTGTTCCTACAAGAAGTAATAAATATTCATATTGTTTTGTCCCTCAAACACATTCATTGACTCTTCTTTGTCATAAAAGTATAAATATTCTTTAAAAATTCTCTCACTTGCTCTATTTTAAAATAATTCCCTTCTCTAAATTTCTTTTGGTTAACTTAAGTAAATTTACTTAAGTGTGTTAAATTATAATAATATTCCGTCTTCTTGTTCTACTTTTTACATTATCTTGTTCTTCCCTTTGTGAAAGGTTGTTGTTGACGAAGGAGAAGCAGCGCCTGGGAAACATGGCGGTCCTCTGTGAGTATATACTGGAGGTTTACCTGGAGTTTACCTGGAGAGAGTTCTGGGGGTCAACGCCCCCGCGGCCCGGTCTGTGCTGCGCTGTGCTGGATAATACTATCACACACATTACATTTCGTACCCACCCTTACATAATTTTTCTCTGAAGCTGATCACCTTAATACAACTGAGGGATTTTAAGAACATAAGAACATAAGAAAGGAGGATCACTGCAGCAGGTCTGTTGGCCCATACTAGGCAGGTCCTTAACAATCCTTCCCACTAACAAAATATTTGCCCAACCGAATTTACAATGCTACCCAAGAAATAAATTTTGATGATTCTGTTTACTCATTATGCAAGTCTCACTCAAATCCATCCCCTCTCACTCATGTATTTATCTAACTTACATTTTGAAACTACCCAACGTTTTAGCTTCAATAACCTTACTAGGCAGACTGTTCCACTCATCAACTACCCTATTTCCAAACCAAACCAATACTTTTAACACCCTCTCGGAAAATTAGCTGCACCACTTCTTGAGGAAGGAAGTTTCTCACCCACTATACGATGGTTTGATTAGAAGGTCAAAAACAAAAATTCTTTAATAGAGACGGAAAAAATATTCATACCAGATCCCTCCCGTACATAGGCTAACTGCAATACGGGAGTCACCAGAAGCCCAAATGCTTGACGACGACTGATATAGACTACACAATGCAGGTGCGGTGACACAGGTGTCGTAACCGATTTAAAAAAAAAAAGCAATCTGCGATCCTTCACAGTGTTGGCAAAATAGGATATCTGCAGGCCAGCTAGAAGGCATAACATCATCCTAGTACGCCATATTCATTTACTGGTGTTGACCGTGTCATCTTCTCTTTATCACTCTCCTCATCTGGGAACACGTCTTGCGACTTCATCGGAGGCTCGCTTCACCTAGCCTTTGAGCTCCCTGCGAACAGTTCCATCGGTTTCGGATCCTCTGCCTTCCACTGATACCTTTAAGTAGCCGAAAGATTGATTTAGTGCTCATCAGTATAATTTGGAAGGATGTTCTCATATCAGTTTTTTCTTCCCCATCACTTCCGTTTTACTAGTACGACTAGCAAGACAAATTCCCTCTGTCTTTGTTCCTCGATAAAGTTGACCCCTCTGACTTTTGTGCAGAAATAATTAGTACAAATGGATATCTGGTATTAAGTGATGCCCGGCAAATGAGTGCAATGTGAGGGCTTACGATAATGGGTGTCTGGCAGCGACTCTTGAAGGGGAATGAATCCTGGATACAAATTCCAAGGGATACCTGGCACTAATCCTTGTGACTGGTTCGGTGATCAGGTGTGGAACAGATCACCCTTGACAGAAAATATGGATCTGTGCTTAGTTTCTTTTTGGAAACCAGTCCTCCGAGAACTTCCTTTAGGAGAGGATACCCTATACTCATCATTCTTGTAAGCGTTAACTTCCTTCTTGAAAAACGAGTGTTTAAAATTTCCGGTGAATTCTTGCAAACCTTAAATATTCATATACACCTTAAAAGAGCTAATCTTCCCTACCATAGGAAAAACGACGAGCCAGATATATATATCTTCTCTTCCTCCCAGAGTACCAGTCTATGAAAGACCGATAAATGAGTCATTGCCACCAGTCATCCGTGGTGATTCAGTTCTCTCACTCTGAAGTATAGGCACTCCATAAAGACAGAAAAAATTTCTAATCTATTTCTGGTCCTGGATGAGGTATTTGGGAACCCCTCACTTGCTTCACTTACAAAGCAGGAACATCGCTCTCCTGGAGTATCTCTCTCTGTTTGGAAATGTAGATGATTTCTGAGTCGTTGTGTCCTCACCATCTTGCTTTTCCCAATGCAACTGCTGCGGCATCAGCGCTCCTAGATGGTCAGTGAACATATCCTGCCACTTTTCTGAATCCATAGAATTCGATTATGTATTATGCCTCTACCTTTTCTCTCCTTCGGTTACTAAGGATGTTTTATTCTTTACTTGAGCAGAAGGCCTGCAGATGGTGTAAACTACATATATAATAAGTCAATGTAAGTTAGTAACGAGTCAGACTTTTCGACATTGTCCCTGATCAGCCTGAGTAAAGTGCTTACGCTGGACTGTGTGCTATCATCACACAATTTTATCGGGGACAGGAAATAAACTGCTGGAAATTATGAACCCACATAATGAACGTCACAAAATCCCAGGAAACATTTCTTCGATTTGGCTGTAAGGTCACGTGTGGGAAACCTAAGTAATGCTAAGAACAGTACTTTCATGTGGATCTCACAGGTGGAGGTCATGACACAAATGTTGTCAACTGCACAGAAATATTACCTAAATTATGCAGTACTTTCCTCATCAGTCTTACGAAGACTTCAACGGCAGTAGCGAGTCCGGGATGGAAAAATCCTATACTGCATCAGACTTGTGTTAATAGGACGAGAAGCTTGTGGTACATCTGCGTAATATCATTATTTGAAAACAAGAATAATTGCAGATTTTATGGAGATCGTCATCAATGATAAGCATAGGTTCAGCATCTCACCTGGTAATGAGACTGAGATTCCGGAAATACTGAGGAAAACTGAAAAAACAGTCGGCTTTCTTTATAATAAGAGCGGTGACAGAAAAGATGAAACCTATAACTGAGTCATGGTTTAAACCTTAACAGTTTGCCAACCTCCTGGTTGAACTCTGTCCGGAGGTGGATTGGTAGAGAATAGTGATTCCATCTTATTGGATTTTTGATGAGCTTCTCTGTTTTATGAATGATAGTAGAGGGAAGCCTCGCGTGTTTGTAAATACATCAGATAAACGAGCAATGTATTTCTGTAGTTGTACTGAAACTTTTAGTCTAATTTCTAAGGGCGTTCAGCCTATTAGACAAGATCGACTTATTGATGAACAATTTTTCATTGACAATGACATAGTTTTTTCTTTTTAGTTTTTTTGTCTAAACCATATTTCGAAATCTTACCAAAACTATTCTAAACAAACATAATTTTTTAGCCAAATTCTGCGTAACATAAAATAGATCAGTTTAAATTTAATAATACTTAAATGAGATATATATTTTTCGTTATGATAAATCGATTTTCGCTAATTTATTATATAAGCAAATTTTTATTCCTCTAATTCAGCAGAAAAGACCTTCGCTTTTTAAGGATAACTCATCGGTTTGGCAAGTTATGCCTAAAATGCCCACTTACATAGGGACGGGCGAGGGTCTCAAGTGTCGTTTTTATCCACAGCCACAAATACCTCATAAGCTGGGTATCCTGGTTTACAAGTCATGTTTCTTCCCAGCCCGGGCACGTCCGTGAGCCTCAAGCAAGGATTCAATATCCTGTACGTTCTGACCTCACAAGCGACTTTTTTTTATCAATGCACCACTAGACAAGAGCGCCACTTGGGAACCTCGCCCGTTCCTGTGTAAGTGGGATACAGTCCTGCTGACTGCGATCTCTCTCTGTATATACCCGCCCATTTCTGTGTGATGCACTGATGTAAAAAAAAAAAGCTTGTGAGGTCAGAACATACAATAGGAGATTGAAATAGCTTGAATCCATAGCTGAGGCTCATTGACGTGGAAGAAACATGGCTTGTGAACCAGGCTACCCAGCTTGTGAGGCGTTTGTGGCCAAGTCGATAAGAGTGTCACTTGAGAACCTTGTCCGTTCCTGTGTAAGAGGGATCGAGTCCTGCTGATTGCAGTCAGTCTCTGAATATATGTTCCGAACTTGCCCAATTGGCTGAACTCCATTTAAAATGGAACTTTTCCAAAGATATTTGGGAAATTTTACACTATTTGCTGTGCCTAATATTAATTTTTTAACTTGTTATTATGTATAAAAATATTATGCAACTTATTACTTTGTTCTTACTGATTTTCGATTTCACACATCTCTTAATATAGCCAATTTCCTCCTCAGGATCATATGCCCGCCCGTTAACCCGCTGATCAGATGCTTCGCCGCCGTTCAAGGATGTGTATACGACAGGGACTGCCGCAAGAACGGTCAAGTGGGCCGCTGCTGTAGGGTACCATGTGGCAAGATTGTGTCTATGGTAAACAGACCTTTCATGAGTGCTCACTGTACCAAAACTTTGAAAACCTGACAATTAAAACGATAAAGGAACAGTCAGTGTTTTATATTGGATATCAGAGATTTACAAAGAAATAGATATGCAGTATTCTTATAGCTGCAGTTCATTGTTTTGTTCTTTATATCCAAATTTTTAAAATTTTTGGGACATTTATCTTAATTTTTAAAAGAGGCTAGCATGACTTTCTTCTATTGAACCCAATTATAAGGTTATCATAGCGTCTTATAATTCATGAATTATTTTTGATAACTAAAAAAATTACTTTGTAATTTAGCAAATAGTAAATTTTAAAAAAAAAATTATTTTTTCTTTTTCACTTAATTCGTTGAGATGGAATGAAGTTGACACTTGTAATTTTCACTTGTAAAAATAACGTGCAAAAGTTTCTTAGTAATCAGTGGAAAAAAATTTAGTGCTCACCCAAGGCGAGTGTCAAATGACACTGTGACCTGCGGGGGTGGGGGAGTCTAAGTTCAATGTCTCTCTATTCATAGAGGGGACATTGAACTTAGACTTCACCATTGCCATAAGATCACTGTATCAGTGAAACTTGCCTGGGACTAGAACCCAAATTCTCCTCGGTGGGGCTACTAAGAAACTACAACCCTCCCTACACCCTTTCCCTTTATAAAGCCTAGCAGATAAGAATTTTCCATATTAAACTTAGCTATGAAAGAATAAGTAAAGAATTATTAAGTATTTACGAAGAGAATATTAAGAAGCTGTCAAATTTCTAGATACTTTTTCCTTCAACTTTCGTTTTAGGTTTGTTCATAACTAGAAAACACCTCATTCAATAACCTTTAATTTTTCAACGCTTGTGCTCAATTACGAGGATTAAATTCTTGGTTCACTTGGGATTTTCACATACCCTATGACCAGACTTATATGACATATTTCCAGCATTCTGGAATACATCCCATAACCTCCAAAACCTTCAGTGGTGAAGCTTCAGACATTAATAAAATTGTCTCATAATTCAACGCTGGAGGAAAGTGAAATTTAAAATGCACAGTTGCAGGGCTTGACTATTTTAGTGTAAAATAGTATGCAATTCTCATTTCCGTTAATTCAAGTTAATTCAAGCATTGCAGCTTGATCGACTTCGATGTTTAATGGTTGATGTATCTTGTAACCAGGAGAGTACCAATTAAGTTTTCTTTCCATGCAGCCAATTTGTTATGTAGTTAAATAATTAATAAAGCTTCGAATCATTGGACTCCGTCCGTACCATAGCTGGAGATTGACTCATTATATAGTCTTCAAATTCCCATAACTGGTATGATTTCTAAACACAAAATTCTTATTGTTATTGGGCGGCATAAATCCCTATTTGTTAAATTTTATTGAAAAATAGTGATATTCATTTGTTTTTCAATATCATGGGGGAGAAAGTTAACCCTTGTTTTGTTCTGAGTTGGTGAATAAACGAATTCTGGAACTGTTGAAATTAATAAAATTTAGTGAAGAATTCTTTTTCTGATCGGCTTCAAATTTTTCACAGTTAGTGAGTTTTATTAATAGAATGACTGGCGTTCACACTGAGCTTGTAAATATTATTTTCCTAGTTTTAAAAAAAAGATTTTTGCCGTGTATTAACTGACAATGCCTTTTTCAGATCGACTTCAAACCCCTTTCACGTTTGTTATACTTAATGGGAAGTATTTTTGTAATTGAAATCCCCCTATAAGCGGCTAGTTAATTGTTCGTGTATCGTGATGTAGGTACTCACGCAAACCCAAAATCACTGCTACACGCACCTACATCCGGTACAGCACCTAATCACTGTACACGCACTACATCACTGCTTCACGCACCCACATCACTGCTACACGCACCTACATCACGGGGTACACGCACCCCTACATCAACTGCTACACGCACCTACATCACTGCTACACGCACCTTACATCACTGCTACAGCACCTACATCACGGCTCACGCACCTACATCACTTTCTACACGCACCTACATCACGCTACCGCACTTACATCACTGCTTTCACGCAAACCCACATCACTGCTACACGTACCTACTCACTGCTACACGCACCTACATCACTTTCTACAGCACCTCATCACTGCTACACGCACCTACTCACTGCTACACGCACCTACATCACTGCTACACGCACCTACATCACTGCTACACGCACCTACATCATCTACACGTACCTACATCACTGCTACACGGCACCTACATTCACTGCTACATGCACTTACACCACTGCTACATACACTTAACACCACTGCCCACATACACTTACATCACTGTTCATACCTTTTCACCACTGCTAAAATGCACTTATACCACTGTCATACACTTACCCACTGCTACATACACTTACACCTGTACATACACTTACACCACTGCTACATGCAAATTACACCACTGCTACATACAAATTACATCACTGCTACATACACTTACATCACTGCTACATACACTTACACCAATGCTACATAACACTTAACCACTGCTAATGCACTTTACCACTGCTACATGCACTTACACCACTGCTACATGCACTTACACCACTGCTACATACATTACATCACTGCTACATACACTTACATCACTGCTACCCTACCTTACCCCCCTGCTACATACACTTACACCACTGCTTTCATTACACTTACATCACTGTTACATACACTTACATCACTGTTACATACACTTACATCACTGCTACATACACTTACACCATTGCTACATACACTTACATCACTGCTACATTCATTTACATCACTGCTACATACACTTACATCACTGCTACATACACTTACATCACTGCTACATACACTTACATCACTGCTACATACACTTACATCACTGCTCATACCCTTACATCACTGCTACATACACTTACCCATGCTACATACACTTACATCACTGCTACATACACTTACATCACTGCTATATACACTTACATCACTGCTACATACACTTACATCACTGCTACATACACTTACATCACTGCTACATACACTTACATCACTGCTACATACACTTACACCACTGCTACATACACTTACATCACTGCTACATACACTTACATCACTGCTACATACACTTACATCACTGCTACATACACTTACACCACTGCTACATACACTTACATCACTGCTACATTTCATTACATCACTGCCCACATACACTTACATCACTGCTACATACATTACATCAATGCTAAATACACTTACATCATGCTACATACACTTACACCACTGCTACATACACTTTCATCACTGTTACATACACTTCATCACTGTACATACACTTACATCATGCTACATTTCACTTACATCACTGCCCACATACACTTACATCCTGCTACATACAACTTACATCACTGCTACATAACACTTACACCACTGCTACATTTCACTTACACCCCTGTTTCATACACTTACATCACTGCTACATACACTTACATCACTGTTACATACACTTACATCCTGCTACATACACTTACATCAATGCTTACTACACTTACATTTACTGCTACATACACTTACATCACTGCTACATTTCACTTACATCACTGCTACATACACTTACACCACTGCTGCTACATTTCATCACTGTACATACACTTACATCATGTTACTACACTTTACATCACTGTACATACACTTACACCACTGCTACATTACACTTACATCACTGCTACATACACTTACATCATGCTACTACTTACATCATGCTACATTACACTTACTCACTGCTACATTTCACTTACATCACTGCTACATACTTACATCACTGCTACATTTCACTTTCATCACTGTTACATACACTTACATCACTGCTACATACACTTACACCACTGCTACATACACTTACATCACTGCTACATACACTTACATCACTGCTACATACCTTACTTTACTGCTACATACGCTTACATTTACTGCTACTACACTTACTCACTGCTACATACACTTACACCACTGCTACATACCTTACATCACTGCTACATACACTTAATCACTGCTACATACACTTACACCACTGTACTTACACTTACATCACTGCTACATCACTTACATCACTGCTACATACACTTACAATCACTGCTACATGCACTTAATCACTGCTACATACACTTACATCACTGTACATACACTTACATCACTGTACATACACTTACATCACTGCTACATGCACTTACATCACTGCTACATACCCCTTATATCATGCTACATTTCACTTACATCATGCTACATACACTTACACCACTGTACATACACTTCATCACTGCTACATACACTTAACACATGCTACATACACTTACATCACTGCTACATACACTTACATCATGCTACATACACTTACATCATGCTACATACATTACCCCCTGCTACATACACTTACCCTCACTGCTACATACACTTACATCACTGCTACAATACACTTAACCACTGCTACATACACTTCATCACTGCTACATTTCACTTTCACTCACATGCTACTTACACTTAACCACTGCTACATACACTTACATCACTGCTACATACACTTACACCACTGCTACATACACTTACATCACTGCTACATACACTTACACCACTGCTACATACACTTACACCACTGCTACATACACTTACATCACTGCTACATACACTTACATCACTGCTACATACACTTACACCACTGCTACATACACTTACATCACTGCTACATACACTTACATCACTGTACATACACTTACCCACTGATCATCACTTACATCACTGCTACATTTCACTTACATCACTGCTACATGCACTTACATCACTGCTTCATTTCACTTACATCACTGCTAACATACACACCTACACCACTGCTCATACACTTATTCACTGCTACATACACTTACATCACTGCTACATACACTTACATCACTGCTACATACACTTACACCACTGCTACATACACTTACACCACTGCTACATACACTTACATCACTGCTACATACA